AAAAAAAAAAAAAAAATGAAACAAGAGTGAATTAAAAGAAGAAAAAAGGAAAAAATAAAGATAAAGCTAAAATCAATAGATAGAGCACAAAAGAGGGTGAAAGAAAGAGAAGATTAAGAAAGTTCTAAATTTACTCTTCAAAAAGATCAGTGAATACACCACTAATCCAGCCCTGCTAGACAAAAAAAAGAGGATGGAAATAAAACATCAAATGAAGAAGAGGATAACTGCAGGCTGAATGAAGGTGAGGAACATCCATTGGGTGCACCAGAGTTGGACTGGGATGAGGAGGGTGTCCCCATAACAGGGTGGGAGGTAATGTGGTCTGGGTATCAGAGCTCAAGATCGGTGAGGAAGCTTGTGCTGGGGAGGGGATGGCTGTGAAGACGGGAGATGGCTCACATGCAGAGGAATGGATGAAGTAGGTAAGTAAATCAAGGACAATGAAAGTCAAGTTTTCTCACTGTTAGCAGAGGGGGATTATAAATACAGAAATGGAAAAAGGATTCACCTGTGTGGTATTGAATTGGACTCGGTGGTGCCACTGTGAACTCTTGGTTTTCCATATGCAAATATAGATAAACATAGAACATTTTATGAAGTAAGATTTATCCAGGAATGAAAGGATGGTGCAATGTTAATGTGTCATATTACACTGGTGGATGAAAATAGTTTTTTCATTAAAAAAGCTGTATGTATAATTGCATACAATTCACACAACATTGAGAAAATTGTGTGAATTACACATAAGTAATTATAATTATACAGTTTTATTATTAACAGTTATTGACTATACATAATTATTATTGAATGTTCTTTAAAAGAATTTTTAAAACTCATGGAGTATCAGAATAGAAAGAAATATAGGAAAAATGTAAAAAATATCAGACTGGTAGAGAAACATTGAACACACTGTTTAAGACTGGAGAGCCAGCAAATACAACTGCTAGCAAGACTGCAGTGAGAGGCTTGTGGAGGACCCAGCCTCTACATTAACACAGGGCAGAGCAGACCTGGCAGCGTAGAAACAAACTGTCAGAACCAACAGAGACTCGTACAGAGTTCAACAAAAATACAGCATAACCAGCGTATGTCTACACCGGCACTAACCAACTAGAAAATACAATAGAAGATAGATATCATTTATAATAGCAGTGCCAACTATAAAATTTGGGAACCAAGTTAACAAAGAACACAGAAAAATTTTACTGGAAAAGATTAAAACTCTATTACAGGACACAGAAAGCAGCTGAATACCTGGTGATATGCTATGATCATTATATAAGATTACTAAAAATTGTAAAGATGTCAATTTTAATGAAATGAAGTATACATTCACTACAATGCCAATAAAAATTCCATTAAGACCTTTTCAACTACTTAACAATCATAAAATTTATACACAAGAATAAAAAGCTGGATCACAAATAACTAAGTCAATTCTGAAAAAAAGAAGAGTGAAGTCGTTAAGGGATGGGGGGAGTTGCTCATTCCACTAAGTACTGAGACAAGCTATAAAACCACAGTGAAAGTTGTCTGCAGTGGCTCGTGCCCGAATTCCCAGTACTGGGAGGCCGAGGCGGGTGGATCATCTGAGGTCAGGAGTTTGAGGCCGGCCTGGCTAACATAGGGAAACCCCATCTCTACTAGAAATACAAAAATTAGCTGGGTGGGGTGGCAGACACCTGTAGTCCCAGCTATTCCGGAGGCTGAGGCAGGAGAATCTCTTGAACCCAGGAGGCAGAATCTGTGGTGAGCCGAGATCGTGCCACTGCATTCCAGCCTGGGCAAGACAGAGTGAGTCTATCTAAAAAAAAAAAAAAAAAAGCCACGGTATGATAAATGGTGAGAGAATGCAGGAACAGACAAAAAGACTGAAGCCATAAATTGAGTGCTCAAAAATAGACCCATGTTTATATGGAACTGGATATGTGATACAGGTGACACTACAAATGAATGAACAAAGGGTAAGATTGTTCAGTGGATGGTGATGGAAAAACTGCCTGCTTTAGGGAGATAACATTGGATCCCTATCTTATGCCATATACAGAGGTGAACTCCAGACAGATGAGAGGCCTAAGGGTGAAAGATAAGACTAAAGCTAAAGTAAGAAAATATGAGAGAATAACTTTGTGCTTCGGGAATGAGAAAGGACTTTTTAAATTTAAATAAGACTACCCATAGTAGAAACTACATAGCAAAACTCACAATTCACTACGTCAAAATTAAGGATTTCTGTTCAACGAAGAATACCATAGACAAAATTAAGAGAGGGTTGAACAAATGAGAGATGACTTTGACACATCAAACTGACTAGGGAGTCCAAAAAGGAAAAGACAGGGAACTCAACAGGAAAAAAAAAGAGAAATGTAAATTTGAACAGATAAGCAATTTAACAATAAAACACAGATTTATACTATCAGATTGGCAACAATGAACAAATAATAGCTTGTGTTCCAAAGGATAGGGAGAGATGGGAAAACTCAACTACTACTGCAGGCAGGGGTGTCTAAAGTGGAATGCTCGTTGAGAACAATACCAAAATAGTCAAGTTAAATATGGCAGCGTCCTATAGCCCAGCACTCCCACTGACGGATACTGATGCAGTGAAGCTCTCTGACAGGCGCACACGGAGATGAGTACGAGATGTCCATCACTGCACTGTTGGCTGGGTAGGCAGCTGGAGGCAACAGTAAGGGAATGGAAAAGTAAAATGGAATTCCAAGCAGCCATTAGCAATGAGGTAGCACACGCAGCAACATGGAGGCATCTTACAGCCAGTGTTCAGTGAAAAAAGAGAGTTGTAATATCGTTTATGTAAATTAAGACATATACACACAAAACAATATGTTTTGCAAAGATGCATACATATTTAATTTGTATGCATATTAGAGAGTGGGTGCCTAATGGAGAAAGGAAGGGGATAGGAGTGGAAATTAGAAATGAAAGGGAAATATTTAAAACTAGCTGCTGAGTCCATACTCTGAGTGCATGGGTCTGAATCCCAGCTGTGCCTCTTACTGGCGCTGTTACCTTGGGCAATTAACAACCTCTCTGGTTAAGTGTCCCCATCTGTAAAAAGGAGCGGGTAACTGAGAGCCAAAGACTGGCTCCAAAAAATTCTGCCCCTCCCTGTCTGCATGTAGCCCCTCCCACAAGAGGTGGGCCTGTGACTGCTTTGACCAATAGGATACCGAGTAAGTGCAGCTCTGGGGCTGCCCAGCCGTGTGTTTTAAGCAGGAGCCTTGGGCCGCCATGCCGTTTCAAGGGGCCTAGAAACAGATGCCACGTAGAGATGTGGGCCACGTGGCGAAGCACTGTGCCATCTGACTGTGTAAAAGACACCTGGCAGAGGCACTGCCCAGCTGAGCCAGGCCAACCTGGGAATAATGAGATAGAATAAAGTAGTTGTTTTGGACTACTTAGTTCTTTTAAGTGGCATTAGATATGGTTATAAGGATTAAGTAAGGTAATCTTATTTTTTTCTTTTTTGACACAGGGTCTTGCTCTGTCACCCAGGCAGGAAGTACAGTAGTGTAATATTGGCTAACTGCAGCCTCGACCTCCTGGGTACAAATGATCCTCCCACCTCAGCCTCCTGAGTAGCTGGGACCACAGGTACGCACCTACATGTGTGGCTAATATTTTGTATTTTGTGTAGAGACGGGGTCTCACCATGTTGCCCAGGCTGGTCTCAAACTCCTGGGCTCAAGCCATCTGCCTACCTCAACCTTCCAAAGTACTGGGATTACAAGCGTGAGCCACTGGGCCTGGCCAGGAAGTAATTTTTAAAGTGCTGGATAGGGCCGGGTGCGGTGGCTCACGCCTATAATCCCAGCATTTTGGGAGGCGAAGTGGGGGAATCTCGAGTTCAGGAGTTCGAGACTAGCCTGACCAACATTGTGAAACCCTGCCTCTACTAAAAAAATGATACAAAAATTAGCCAGGTGTGGTGGTCGTGTGCCTGTAATCCTAGCTACTTGGGAGGCGAAGGCAGGAGAATTGCTTGAACCTGGGAGGTGGAGTTTGTAGCGAGTTGAGATCTTGCCACTGCACTCCAATCTGGGTGAGAGAGCAACACTTTGTCTGCCCCCAACCCCCCAGCCAAAAAAATTAAAACATCAAAGTGCTGGATAGTGCATGGCTCATGGGAAAGGCCTGGTACTATATATGTATTTATGGAATAAAAAAGAACAAGGACCTAATAGAAATGGTGTCATGAGCAAAAATGTATGACTAACTTAATTCTTTTCACATAATGTTCACAGATAGGCTAAAACCTCTGATAGGACTCATATATTCATTTCCTTGATGGGGAAATTACGGCCCTGATTGATAGATGAAAAGGATATTCCAAAAAAGAGAGTGTCTCAAAACGAAGCAGGACTCCCTGAGCCAACTCTCCTGCTGTTGTCTTTGTGCACAGAATTCAGAGCCTGAAGAAGGCACTGGATGTATGAGCTCAGTGACTCACGAATGTCTCATTTCTGGGAACACAGACAACTGATGGGCTATATTCATTTTCTTCTGTAGCACTAGACCCAGAACTAGCAAATTTTTATCTGTAACGAATTATCAGTTAACCCTAGGTCTCAGTATCAGGAAATGCAAGGAAAACAAAAATCTACCCATAATTCAAAGATCTCAATCAAATCAGTAATTTCAACCTCTAGAAAGTTCTCATAACAATTCTTTTTATTCCCAAGCACAGTGCACAATATTTGTTGATTATTTTATATTAATCCCTCTTCTTTTTGAATAATAATTAAAACAATTTGTTTATGTTCTTTCAAATCGATTATTAAAATTGTTCTTTGAAATCCTGGCTAGGGCAAAATAACCTAGACGGTAGCAACAGTGAATGGAAGGTTAGAAAGGGAAGGGCACCACTGTTCATTTGTGAGAGGGAGCTAAGCCTTGTGACTCTTACAAGGACTATATGAGGTAGACACTACCCCCATTTTACAGAAGCAAAAACCTAGGCTTAGATAGATGGGGTCACTTGTCCGCAATCTGCAGCCGAGACATTGTGAAGCCAGGATTCAAACTCATGTGTTCTTGACTGGGCATGGTGGTTTACACCTGTAATCCCAGCACTTTGGGAAACTGAGGAAGATGTATTACTGGAGGTCAGGAGTTTGCGATCAGCCTGGCCAGCATGGTGATACCCTATCTCTACTAAAAATACAAAAATTAGCCAGGTGTGGTGGTGGGCACTTGTAATCCCAGCTACTTGGGAGGCGGAGGTGGGAGAATTGCTTGAACCTGGGAGGTGGAGTTGCAGTGAGCCGAGATTGTGCCTCCACACTCTAGTCTGGGTGACAGAATGAGACCCTGTCTCAAAAAAAAAAAAAAAAAGCCACACAAAAAACCTTCATGTTCTCTTACTCCCTAGGTGGTTCTCTTCCACTCTGTCGTGTTGGGAAGAGGAGCCAGGATCACCCCAGAATGACTGCAACAGGCAAGGGGAAGGCAGAATGTCCTAAAGCCAATTCCTAGACACTGAGACTTTTGTGAAGCCAAAGAAAGGGTGTCTCATCTGAAGGCACCAATAAAAAAAAAAAAATGGGTGGATTGTAGCCCATATATTTCTGCAGAACTGACACATTTTGAGAGAGTTAACAGTTGCCCAGACATCACTAGCCATAGTGCCAACTTCTCACGACTCCAACCTCAGCAGCACCAGGCTTCATGTGGTCTGTCTGCCAGAAAGCAGATCCTCATATACTTGTCTGGGAAGAATGATGGGAAGCCAGGTTCATCCTGGTCCTAACTTCTTGTCCTAAAATAAGCCTGAACCTTGTCCCCACATGCTGGCTCAACTCCCATTCTACTTCAGGCATCAGAATCACAACTCTACATTTCTCATCTAGCACCAGGACCACAAACTGTGTGTTAGATCTTCAGGCAGCTTCTAGGAACATCCTGGATTGAAGTGGAGAGGAAGCATTTCCTGCATTCATTTCCTAGCTGGCTTTCTTACTCAGGTTCTTTGGGTCTTGGGTCATTTCCTAGTGTGGGCAGCTCTATAAGCTGTGTGGAGTGTCGGGCAAGGCTGAGGGGATTCAAATATGGGAGAAAGATGCACCGTGCAGGTGTGGACCCAGAGCCCAGCCAGGGTCAGCGCCCCATGGGAACAATAAGGACTTAGGAGGAAGCAGGACCAGAAGCTGGTTGCTTGCCCAAGTGCTGGGTCAGTTGGGCTGCTGTTTCACTTCCATTTTCTCCTTTGGCTCCTCCATGCCCCAGATGAGTTACTTTCACTGAAAATGAAATGCCTGTGGTTACAGCCCCCTGAAAGTGACAATCCACAGCAGGGCCGAGGCACTTGGGGCAGGGGACACTAGGACAACGAAAGACAAACCAAAGTAACTTCCAAATCATGCTGTTTATTTTTCCTTAATGGATTTTACAGCTCATCTATGTCTCTGCTCAGTTCTCTGAGGAGCTGTAGAATTTGTGTCGATGCCCTGTGTCCTCCGTCCTTCCCCAAATGAGCACACATGCAGGGCAGGAAAGAGCACACTGGATTTGTCTTAGTTGTTAATTCACCCTCTAGCTTCACTGTGACACACATTTGTCTCTACGTGATATGCTCAAGAAAAACGATTAGGACAGAATCACAGCAAGGAGTGTGGAAGAGAGGGAGTTTTGTAAAAAGTCCGTGCAAGAGAAGCAATGAACCACTAGGGTCCTTTAGGTAAGGACCCCCATTCTTCATCTCTTCCTCTTCATTCTTGATTTTTCAAAAAGAAAGAAGCACAAGAAGAGGACTAGGCTAGCAAGGCCACTGGTAAGCCTCAGGATGCCTCTGCACCCATAAAGAAAAGGCACCCCTTCCTGCAGGAGGTGGAGCCCTTTCCATAGGGCATGGCTTGGAGAGGATGAAATATCCTCCAAGAGTTCAGAATCCCAGATGGGCCCTGATGCCAAAGGAGAGCAGAGCGTCTCACAGGGAGGTCCCAAGCTGGTGACCTGGGAAGGGAGGCACTGATGCTGTGCCTGGCTGCCAAGGGTGTCCTGCCCACCACCCCACATGCAGTCTACTCTTTGTATCTTGGACTCTGCTTTACTTCACAGGGCAGGGATGCAAACATGAGAAAAAGGTGTGGCACAGGCACAGCATTAATGTGCAAGTCCTTCCTAAGGGAGGGTCCCCATTGAACTGCCTGGGACCTGGCTGCCTTTGATGGTGTCATTATATCTCATCTCACGAACCAAGACCGCAGGAATTCTCTGCAGACACTACCCCCACAGGAAATCCTCCTGGGAATCCGCTGCTTCCTTAATTCATGGAAGAAGCAGGAAGGAGAAGGGGCATGGTCCTTTCATGAATGTTGTGCCACTCAGTTGAGAGGTGTCAACAGGTTCACCTGACAGCTCAGGGACTAAGGCTGGGTGGACGTCATTTATCAAGTATATTACTGGGCTGCAATTCACCAGCTACCAAGTTGAGCTCTTTGCTCGGGAAATTTAATGTGTGGCAGCTGCGTGCAGCCGGTGGTGCCCAGCATTTTAAAAAGGTCAATTAAGAAGCGGTTGATGGTGGTGGAGCTAATGACAGCTCAGGGAGGGTGAGCAGGGCCGAGTAAACAGAAGGGCTGAGACGTATGTTACTGGAATTGAAGTGTCCAAGTGAAGCGTGGTGGGGAGGAAATCTATTGTCACAAGCCATAAAGCACATCTGAGTTTTGCAGCGAAGAGCAGTACAGCTGTTTCCCTCCCCAGGCAGCGCTGAGGGCAGCCTGTGAAAGGAGCGCTCGCCGACAAAGGGGACAGCTGCATCAGCTCCATCAATTTGCAGACAAAAATCGCTACCCTCCTCGCTGCGTGTTCCTTTGCACTTCTCGTTTTCCACTTGGGGAGCACAAGGCAGATGCTTGGAGTGATACTCAGAATGTGGGTCGTGTTCTAGAATTCCACATTTTAAGCATTCCCGAAGCAGGGCTCCGCCCCTCGTCGCGGCATGTGGGCGGGCGGATAGCCGGAGCCTGGGAGTCACCCCAGCCAGCTCTCCTCAGAAGACATCCGCTCCCGCCTCCGCGCGCGCACAATGCAGGCTGCGGATCAGGCCCTTTACACTGCGACAGACAAAAGCGGGACACGAAACCCTTAGAAAAAATCTATTTCGGCCTGTGACAGAATTGGCTCACGGTTGGGGGAAGGCACTGTGTGGGGCTTTTAAAAAAAATCAGACAAAGGGGTCTTACAATAAGTGCAGGGCTGCTAGGACTGGCTTTTTTGCCACATCTACCTGTCAAGCTAGAAATTCAATAGAGCAATGGGAATGCTAATTGATATGCAAAACAGGTCTAGGGTTCCTAGAAATGTCTCTTGATCCTCCAGTTCATTACGAATGCAGAATTAAGACATGCACTAAATGAGATGGGAGTGAGAACACCAACCTTTTTGCTTTTCCCTCTTTTCCCTTTAAAACCTGCTTTGGGAAACTTCACAGGTTTTATGATTTAAAAAAAGAGTTTTGCAATCAGTGGGTTTTGTTTTTCACACACAGGATATTTATTATTAGAAAATAGCTTCTATCAGCTGTCAGTAGCAAAGAAGTTGAAAGGAGTGAGCTTCTCACCATATTTTCTTCTTAATGATATTTAAATAAACAGCTCACTGTGTGGAGAGTTGCCACGCCCTTTTTTCCCTTTAAAAACTGAATAATTAAATGAAGTTTAGTACAAAACATTCTTCAAATATGACTTGTTCTGCATCTGTTATGCTGTCTCCTGGATGTGAAAGAGATGAAAGAGACCATTCAGGCTACCAAAGTACCCCAAATAATCCACACGAGGAACTGAGAAACAAATAAACTAACTCGAATAAGACCCAACCAAACCAAGAAACCAGTTTTTACATTGGCTTTTTGATTTTGATTATCATCTAAGTTTAATATATATATATATATATATGTTTGAAATAGTAATAAAAAAGGAAGAATTGAATTGCATCCGTAGCAGGACAACCTTCCTCATACGTTAAAGAGGTGTTCAGAAAATTCCATACAGTATCTGCTAAATAAACATGTTTGGCAGCTTAGCAAATATCATATGATTGCAGCATCCATGATTTGAAGTAAAACAGCATTTGCTTTCTTCTGGCAACGGTCGTTGCTTGGGGTGATGTGCTAATGCACTCTGGATGTTCTTACACCCTCAGGCTGAAGGAAGGGCTTGGGGGTGGCTCAGTGCATGGCCACAGTGCAGACACTTCCAAACCCCAAACAATGAATCAACCAACCACCCACACAAACATCAAACAATTGTCTCCTTTGAGTTCCTCTTGACCGAATGTAGGCCCAGCAAGGACTGCTGGTTAGAAGGTACATTGACAGACTTTGGAATGAGGAGAATCACCCTCTGATTGGTCCGACGCCACTCGTTGTACAATCGACAGTGGTACCTAAATGACACCTGGGGGTGAGAGAGGAAAAGTAAGAGAAAAGAATTCAGGTCGGCAGAAGTGGATAATCATTGCAAGAAAAAAATACGTCATTTGAAAGAGCTTCAAAGAGCTGGCAGCACTACAGCTGGGCAAGAACCCTGGGCACAATGGCTCTAGCACGCAGTGAGTGTTGGAAGACTGGGCACCAACCACAGAGCACCCTGTGTGTGGACACATGGGCAGAGGTTGCATGGGTGGCTTCCTCTGTTCCTCCTCATACTGGGTACATTCAGGATATGAATGGGAAAATGTGGTTCTTTCTGAGTTTGAATTTATTTTTGGACTAGTGGTGGATACAATGCCAGCCCTCGCCCAGCTGTGTGATCTGGACAATGTGCCTATCAGGTCCCTAGGTTCTTCTCTGTTAGATGAGTGGGATGCTAGGACTTCATGTACCTTCCTGCAAGTTAGACCCTGCACAACTCCAAGGATCCCACTCACCCTGTGATACGAAGGACACGCCCTTTGTGCTGTCCAGTGGACAACCTGCACAACTGCTTGGTGGCCCCAACGGATGATTCATAATGGCCTCCAGCTCCAGCATGCATAGCTTCCAGTAAGGAAATCGCAGCATGGGCACTAACTCCCCTGATAAATCTTCTTGAGTCTCAGGCTAGGTGGGGCACGACTCCCTTGGGTGCCCACCGTGCCTCAAGCTTTCCTACATGGCACTGAGCGTCCTGAACAGCACTGTGCATGTTTTTCCTCCCCCTGCCCTAGGAGCATCTTGAGAGCAGGGGTGTGTTGTGTTCATCTTTGCATGGCCAGCACCTGTTCCAGGGCCTGGCACTTAGGAAGTTGCTCAACAGAGTTTGCTGAGTAAATGGATGACTGAATAAGCATCCTACCTTTTCTAATTGCAACACTGCTTCAAACTGAAGCCTTTTTCTTTTTTCTTTTTTTTAAGATGGAGTCTTGCTCTGTCACCCAGGCTGGAGTGCAGTGGCATGATCTCAGCTCACTGCGACCTCTGCCTCCTGGGTTCAAGCGATTCTTGTGCCTTGCCTCAGCCTCCTGATTAGCTGGGATTACAGGCACATGCCACTACGTCTGGCAAATTTTTGTTTTTAGTGGAGACGGGGTTTCACCATGTTGGCCAGGCTGGTTTCGAACTCCCGGCCTCAAGTGATCAAAGTGCTGGGATTACAGGCGTGAGCCACCGCGCCCAGCCGAGGTGCTTGCTTTTTTATGTATATACATTGGAATGAGATGCTTAAACCTGTAGTTTGTTTTGGAGAAGGCTGGCATAAAACATTCAGGGACTGCCCAGGAAATTCAGAGTCTGATGTCTAGGTAAGTGCTGGAAATGAAGGAGCCCATGAGCTTGGAGAGACAAATCAGGTCTGGGCTATTTAATCATCTGGGAGTAGGTGGGTTGTGTTGACCACTAAAGGTCTATGGTGGTCAGAAAGTGGATTGACCTGATGGCTTGAGCTGGAGTTTCTGGAAGTAGGTGGAAGTGCAGGCCCTTGATCAGAATGGGCAGGATCATGAAATTCAAGGCCACTCATTCCAGTTTCTGAGGCTAGAAAGCAGATGCCACGGGCTGAGTGCCAGAGAGCTAAGTATGAAAATACACACTTTTAAACTCACACAGATGTGTTTTCCTCCAAAAGTCCCTGAACATGCCAAAGTGGATCAGCTTGGGTTTTTTTAAGCTTGATTCTCTTGTATCTATTCTGTCCTGCTGCTGCTGGGTGCTACTCATGAATGTAAGAGAGGCAGGCTGGGAAGCCAGCTGTTCAGGGCCAAGGGCAGGAAAGAGGTGGAATGCAGACAAGTATTATACTAATAAGGAACTTTGGCAATATAAGAAGTCTGGGATCTGGGAACATTATGGGAAAGCTGGATTTCAAATCAAGAGTCCCTTTTTCCATGATGCTGAGAGCTGTGCACACTTGGCATTAGTAATCGGAGAAGGAGCTATGAGTGCAGGCCGCAGGCTCCAGAGCCAGGCACATGAGGCTGGAATCTGCATCCTCTGCTTAGTGGTTGCGTGACTTGGGGAGGTTATTAGCTGTCAACAAGCTTCAGTTTCCTTGTTTGTAAGATGTGAACAATGATATTTGATGT